TATTTGTGGTTTTCGTTCTCTTTGTTTAGAGATAATATTTATTAAGGTATATACTTACAAAACATTCTTTTCCAATAAAACAGTTTTTTACAAGTTTGAATGAAAGTCTTTTGCATATCTAAACTTAATCGCTAATACCAACAAATATCTTTCCTACACTGGCGGACACAGAATTTTGAACGATTTGTCATTCGACTGACATAAAAATGTAAGACGGGCCTTACGCAACTAACCTCACTTTCGGTTTTTGTAATTTTTAGCCTGAAAGCTAGAGAAAAAATGACAATAAATCAAAATAATTTATTGAACACGTATTGCTGGCATTATTGTTTCGGAAAATCGACGCCAAAAATAAATTTCAACTAAAACTTTCAATTTTAGTTTCAAACATTGACACTTTTTGAACTAACATAAATTTGATGTCCAAAATTCCGTGTCGGCCACTGTATTAATGATCGATTTACAAAATCTTTTATCATTTATTCATAATTTTCTCTTGGTAAACATTCTCGACTTAACTAAATTGCCTTCTGGTTATAGACAACGTTCCGTTGCTTAGATACCGCATACAAGAACGATTAACCCAAAACCTCATTGAGCATCAGAAGGGTATAAGGATCCTTAATGCGTAGAAGCGGCGTTTATTATATAGTTAAATGCAATGTACAATAATTTTGTTAACGATTAATTAATGATGATGCGAAATGGCAGTTCCGGATTGCGAGTTTGGCAAAGCAAGAAACCGCTCAACTTCCTAACTTGCAACTGTAACGTGATTAGTGCATTGACTGTTTTCCGTGACAGGCGTAACATGTCATTAAGGTCGCACCGGGACGCCATTGATATGCTTTGACGGTCTCCGAAACCTAAGGGGTAGCTTGTAGCGTTTTCCTTAATTTCCATCGACAGCATCCGATACTGACACATCATTACTATACGATAACCGTAGTCAAATACAGTTACATTATCAGTATTATCACCAATCCCGAAAAGATTCATTTTGATTTTTTATTGGTTTTAGAAATAATAACAATAGATTTAAAAAAGTTTATTAGGAGTATGTGCGTTTGCTTCATTAGAACCGGTATCGCCCTTAGTGTAAATGAAGCTTTACACCCTAGTTTCAGGCTTTTGTCAACCCCGCGTCGCATTAGTCTATTAGATTGGGGGACAACCCTATCATTTAGTAATCTTTGGTAATCGGCTATGCATTAAAACATTACGTTAATAGCCGTGCAGCCATGTAAATTACTCTATTGATTTGCTAAACCACGTCGTTGCGTCCACAAATATTTACTCTACTTTTCAAAAATCAATTTATTTATTGAACCATTCACACATTCGATCAAAACACATCTTACATTTCTTTGCACGATAAGTCGAATGATATAAAAAAATCAAGCTTCAGAAATCAAGTGATGGAGTTCCTCGAAAACTGCAGACAGAGTTCTTCCTTGAACAAAGAATTAAAAGATACTTCGGAGATCTAACAACTATGCAGTTGTTTGGTTTGTTTTTTTGTTGTTGGGGCTTAGAGAGAGATTTTATTGAAAATAAATGAAACGAATTGATGAAATATTGATTATTGGACTCGGTACGTTTTTAATCTGTATCTGTATTTCTAGATAATCTTAGTGAAAAAGTGCAATTCCAATTCGGTATATTAAATGCTTTTAACGAGGTTTTTAAGTAATTAAAAATTCTCTTTCACAAATCTATAAAAATTGAAGTATTTAAAGTAGATTTCATTGAAATTGGCATAATAGGTGGCTATGGAATTTCGTATTTAAGTTTGTAGCCCTGCGCATGTCCCTGATATAATAGCTGATGGGGTTTTTGTTTTTCTTTGATTACTTACCTACATGATTTATTGAACTGACAGGATTGACATTTGTATTCATTTTTTCACTGTTTTCGTTGCTTGTTCGTTATTCCCACTATTTTTTCAAATTATAATCAAAAGTAGTTCTCTTCAGAACACCAGATTTAAAGTACAGGCTAAGGTATGTTTGAAAACATAATCAATTTCTTTTTGTTGTTCCTGTTTTAGGCATTTTAGGTTAATGGAATCAAATATACCAATTTGAGTTTAGCCAAATTAGTTTATCCAAGACAAAACACGATTTTTCAAGCTTCAGTACGCGAGGCTTCATTTTGTACAGATTTCCACTCCGATCGCAACAACTTTACCATTGTTTAAAAATTCACAATTTTGTCCTACATTTTTAATGAAAAAATCCAAACCCCTTTTGGCTGCAACTTTCACGGAAAACAAATTGTGTTTCATCTCCGGTGTGAATGAAACGTATTTTAAAATTTCAGGAAGCCACTTTTTATCAACGAAAGTCTATATTTTCTCAAAGCAATTAGTGTATGTTTTTGTGTCAAAACTATACAGCTACAAAGGGATGATACTTTTTATGGAGAAAAACTCTCTCTGAAAACCTTTGAAATAGGGTTCTTTAAAAATAAAATTTTAACTATCTTAACCTCACTTTTTTTAGTGACAAATTTAGTTCCTTAATATGTAAAGCCTTTTTCACATTTAAAGCGCAGTTTACACAATCATGGCCTACTGTTATGCCAATTTAAATGAAATGGATTATAGGTAATTGATAATAAAAGTACCTCCCAGCCATATCTACAGAGTGCGCCAGAACTCGCGCCCCAGAGAAAAATGCCATATAAAGTAAGATACCAGGAACATGGAAAAAAAAGTTAAAAAAAATTATCTATAAAAATTTCGAAGTTATGAGGGTTTAAAGTTTGCACTTTGACTCTATTTATTTCTGTTGGAAAAATAATTTTCTAAGTTTTTTTGCTATAGGCTATTAAAAGAGGAAACAAGGAAGCTATATCCTAAATTGTAACTCTGTTCAATGTTATTTGTGGCTTTTATTAGCAAAATTTTTATCCCTTAACTAAATAATTGTAAAAAACATATACAAGATCATCAGTATCATTAAATTGGAATAAAAAAAATGTCAAATGTCAAAAAATAAATGTCAATTTTTTTTACAAATATAATTTTTTAAACATTTTTTTCATGTTCCTGATATCTTACCTTACTTGAAAATTTTCTCTGGGGCGCGAGTTCTGGCGCACCCTGTATTAATAATGAATTTATAGTTTTTAAACAAAAGTTGCTAAATACAGATTGTTTGATTTTTTAGTAAAAATTTTGTTGAAAAAATGTTATGATAGAAATTAATAAATTCATAAATAAAACAAAATCCTTAAAAATATCTTTATTCTTGGACACTATCAAAATTTACGATTTTTCTCCCGTGTAAGGAAGTTTTGACAACTGTTTGGCATTTCTCAATACGAAACGTCAGATTATTTTTAACAGATTTAAAGTCAGTTTAAGCCTTATTGAGTCTAATTCGAAGAATAAAATGTTGTAATCAACTCGTTTGAGTGTAAATAACTATAATTGATTTTTGATGCCGCATAATCATTCTTAGTTTCTAGTTTTAGTAAATATTTTAACATCAGTTAAAATTAATATACTTAAAATTATTTTCAAAAACTACACGTTCACATTATAATCCCGAAATTATGTCATTATAATAAAAGTTAGTCCTAAAAATAATAAGAAGTGAGTCTGTTAAAAGACAATTTAATGAGGAATCCAAAAATAATAAAATATACAAGGTGTTGTTCTATTTAAAAAACTGAAATTGACATCACTTCCGGTAAAACACCAAGAAGCATGTATAATCAAAAAAATACTAAAATCATGTAATTGTCGTCGTTTTTGACTTACCTTGTAGCTTATAACGGGTGATTGTGAACGAACCATCGTATTGAAAGTTATTCATCTGACATTTGACACCTTGCCGGACTCCGGACCTATTAAAAATTGTGGTCTGTTCACAACACACTCATAATCATCGCTAACTATGACGCCAAATTAAAAAAAAAACACACGTTATAAAATGTGGATAAAATTGAATTTTTTAAACTCTAATTTGGTTTCTATTGGGAAAATTGACTCCACAAACTACCAGATAAGATAAGAGTCCGAGAGACGTCTTTTATCGTAAGCAGTTTGTGTCGTCAATTTACTAAGCACCTGATTCCAGTAAAAATTAATATATACGGATAAAAAACCTCTTGTGCAATTATTATTAATTAGGTATCTATAAGCAAACCAACAGTCTTAGCTCAGACACTCCTATATTATAGTCGAGTACATTGATGGACAGTGAATTTCGTCCACCCAATTTCCCTGACAGATTAAAAGTGTAAATTATTCTTTAGGTTTTTTTAGAGTTCCTATATTTTCCTATATTTTCTAATATAGGAACTCTAGGTTTTTCTAACTTTGTTTCAGATTTTAATTAACGATTGTCATGTTGACAGAATGCTCGATGCTCTTTGCTACTTTTTACCTTTGTCTTTTGAAATACTACCTAGTCCTTGGTGTGCCCAAAAGTATAGAGACACGTCTTTGGGACATAACCTTCATGTACCAGGGAGATAATTTTTATTTTATTAAACAAACTTACTGCTGACATGTTCGAATTTGATTAGATTTGACAATATGTATTTAATTTCTGTTTTATCATGACAATAAAGCACAGACTATAATAAATTTTTGTGTATTCACGGAAATTGGATGGACGAAATTCACTGTACCTACATAAAAAATTAACAAATTTTTCTCAATTCCCTAATATATAATTTTTTATTTTATACAAAGATGAAAACAAAACTAAACTATTTTTCCCTGAAATTCTTTTTATGAAACTTAATTCTCTTTTGTTATAAGAGAATAATTAAACTTGAAACAACCTACAGTTTCAATTTCATAAGTCAAATAATTCAAATTGCAATTGCCACATTTAAAACTAATTTTGCATAAAACATATATTTCTTAATTAAGCCTCAAAAGGGGTGCATTTTAATGAGAATGTACAGAAAATTAGATTAAATCAAATTTATTCCGCCTGCCATATAGATGACCCAACATACTCCAAGCTTAGTAACTTTTTAGCATGTTGGTGCGTTTCAAAGTGACGGTGACGCTAGCTTGTCAAGCTCGGCAAATGTCAAACAAACACATAACCTAATTTATCGTGTATTTTTTGGTTTTTGTTCATTAATAAGTATTTTTCTTTGAAAATGTCTGGAATGTTGTATGGCGGCGACGAAATAGGGGCTTTAGTGTTTGATCCTGGGCATCATTCTTTACGGGTAGGCTACGCTCAGGAAGACACCCCTAAAGCCGAAATCCCGGCCGTGGTCGGCGTCGCACCCGACGACACGCCGAAAATCGAACCGGAAACCAAACCAGACGATAGCAATGTTTCATCAACCGCACCAGGTATTAATGTGTTGTCCAAGTTTAGCAAATTTGAGTAAAAAATTGTAGCTTGGAAATATTACATTGACACGACTTTTTTACACACGCCGAGGCCAAGCATGGAGCTGCACAGTTACATGAAAGACGGGATGATTGAAAATTGGGATTTGTTTGAGAAAATTGTCGATTATTCCTACGATAAAGTAACTTTCTCACAGTTCTCCAATTTCCACTGTTAACTATTTTTTTGTTAGATTATTCAGTCAGAATCTCAGTATCACCCCGTTTTGTTTTCCGAGTGTCCTTGGAATTTGCGCCACAAACGCGAGAAACTCACCGAAATCATGTTTGAAAAGTACAAAGTACCTGCTTTTTTTCTTGTAAAAAATGCAGCTTTGGCGGCTTTTGCCAATGGTCGAGCCACAGCCCTTGTTATAGACAGTGGGGCCACACACACTTCTGCCGTACCTGTTTTAGATGGTTATGTGATCACCAACGCTGTTGTTAAATCACCATTAGGTGGCGACTACCTCATTTTAAAAGCGCGAGAAATGTTAGAACACATAGGGATCGATCTCACGCCGGCTGCTCTAATAGCAAGCAAAGACGTCGTCAGAGATAAAGATAAACCAAAATACATGAAAAAGAAGCTCTCTTTTCAACCAACGAACAGTTGGATGGCTTACATGATTAAAAAAACAGTTCAGGATTTTCAGCAGAATGTCATTCAGGTTTCTGAGTCTCCCTTTGATGAGAGAATTGCAGCCGGTTTCCCCACGATTCAGCACGAGTTTCCCACAGGATATCGCCAGGATTTTGGTCCAGAGAGATTTAAACTTGCTGAAGTCCTTTTTGATCATGCAATGCTTGGAGCAGGGCATATAGGTAACTGCATTTTTTTTATGAAAATTGGTTTGATTTGTTTTTTTTTAGCTGCAACTAGCGCTGGTATGTGCGATGTTGACATAAGACCAGCTCTTTACAGTTCTGTGGTTTTGACTGGTGGAAATTCGTTAGTACAAGGATTTAGTGATAGATTAAGCCGGGATTTATCATCTCGGACTCCCGGTTCTTTAAGATTAAAAATGATTGCAGCCAATGGTACTGTTGAGCGACGGTTCGGTTCATGGGTTGGCGGTTCAATTCTTGCATCAATTGGTACTTTTCAACAAATGTGGATGTCGATGCAAGAATATCAAGAAGCCGGCAAGGCCCAAATTGATAGAAAGTGTCCTTAAAATCTATTTTTAAGTCAAACATTTCCAATTTTATCATTTACATGTCTCAGTATTTTTTAGACTTTTCACCAAATAAGGTATTTGTAATAAAATCCAGAAGTAACAAGTTTTTAAAAATTATTATTTAAGAAAAATAAATATATTATATAACAAATTGGTTTTTACAATTCAGTCTTTACACTATTATTTACATGATATAAAATTTCATCACAAAGGTCCTTTAAAACATTATAAAAAGTCGAGTCTTCGACATCATCAGACTTTATCAATAAATCGTAACGTTTTTTCAAATTTGTGATTAAATCTTTTTCGTATTTGCCCCCACAATGCGCCCTTAAAGAATGCATGGCAGTTAAACACTTCTCAACTGAATCGTGATCGTCCTTATCAGTTATCAATAGCCCTAATAACAACTTATTTAATTTTGTGCACCAATCATGTTCGAGGATATGTTTAGTCAAATCGAATTTCGTATAATACTTCCGCAAATTCTCATCAACGACTGAATATTCGTGTTCAACTAACAAATCCGAAATCATCGTTACTAACTTAACTTGAAACTTGATATCATCACTATCGAAAAACTTCGTCAAAACAGCCAACCCTCCACTTTCAACGAACTTCCGTTGGGCGACCGGAAACGACCTCAAGAGAGCTCCCAACGCACTCAAAGCCCGGGTTTTCACTCCTAAATCTGACTCAAAATTGATAAGACGTAACAAAACTCCAATTGCACCACTCTCAAACGCGTGGATTTTCGGATTTACGTTATTTTGCATCAAACCAGTCATTAACTTTAACGTTTCTTTTTTAATATCCAAATCCGTGGAATTTAAATTTTTGTAAATGAATTCTTGGAAGGCGTTCTGTTTGACGAACTCGCGCCCATTGTCATATTGATGTACCAAAAAGTCCAAATCCTCGATAATTTTCAACAACTTGCTTTTGTCTAACTTTTCCCTATTTAGACCCTCCAAATGCTTTTTCAACAAATCTCTGATTATTTCGGCATCCATTTTTGGTGTTAGATTCAAGTCACCGAGAGTTTTTTTAATCTCATCGTAACTGCGGAATTTGTTCTTGTTTTTTTTTAATTTTAATTCATCGGACGTGAAGAGATCTCTAATGGCCTCTCCAAGGGTGGATTTTGGGAGATTTTCGACATTGGTGTCTTCGTGGTCTTGAGGTAAGGCCGTTAAAGCCCTGGTTTTATCCTCGGGGGCCTTAGAGTCGTCTAGCAATTTCGCCTCCGTTTCTCCGGTTTCGAGGTTTATCCTAACGTGGAGCCCCCTGGGGATTTTTTGACCTGTCGTGAAAAATAGTTTCGCAAATTTATTCGATCGACAGTCGAGAAAAATACTGCCAAAATGGAAAAAAACGTCTTTGTGAAATATGCAAATAAAAAACCCAAACAAAACCAACAAAAAACAATTTTTTTTAATATTTTTGCAAACTTCACGAAGACTTCACTTTCAGCAATATTTTGCTTGCCTTTTGTGCCCCCTTTCAACCAAGCAGATCGACTTTACGACTGGTCTATTATTCGTGACTGCAAAACTACACTAACTACGTGAATGCCTACTGTGAGTTAGTGAGATACTGTCTACAATACCCCAAAGCCTACGACTGTGAAAAAGCGTGCTTTTATTCCAAACCGCCTGTGCTAGAAAAGCTCTATTTTTTCGTGTTAAAATTGCGTGGACAAACACAATGTTATGTGAGAACATGCAAAATAAGTGCCACAATCTATTAAATACCAATTTACAATAAAACTCAACCGTTAGTGTCTTAAAATTTAGTAAATCTACGACTTACCTTTTCTAACAATTTGCCACTCTTTGGTTGGAACAAAAACATCATTTTCTTCATTTTTGCTACACTGAATGAAAAAAATAAATCCAATTATTACAAAAACACTAAGATATTTGAACATTTTTGTTTAAGGACCACGTAGTTTATCAAACATTGTCTGCACTCTAGGTAAATTTTAGGTTAGGAAATACAGACAGGTGACAGATGGAACTTGTGTCCATTTTATTGGTCCACGTTGGATGTTGTTTTGACTATTTTCTTGTTAATGATAAAATGTCACGCAATTCGTAAGAAACAGTTGGAAACAAATTGAAATATTTAACTGCGATACTTTTACTAATTAAACAACATTTCTTTATTAGCGCAGGGATATTTATTAAAATTTCGAAATGATTTCAGAATTTGATTTGAATTTGAGCGTCGGGTGGAAAGTGGCCGTCTGCGCAGGCTGTGTCTACAGAGTCATACTTAAAACTAAAATAAGTTTCTATTTGTTGTATTTAAACCTAAATTTTCGAAATTTTAAACCATTAGTTTACACAGCTTTTACTCCTCATAATTTTGTACTTAATTATAGTCAATAATCTACTAGAAGCATTTAGAAGTATTAACTTAAACACGGCACTTTTAGAGGTGTGACCTTAGTCACAGCGCATAAACCTCCCCACCATCATTTGTTAACGGCAATCGCCATTAGCCAACGCAGAAAACGCACTCTCTTTTCGTCTTCGATCCGTTTGCTTTGCCGGCTTCTAGTCACGTGCAGTGCTCTAATTATCTGTAAACATCTGTGAATTACAATGGCCGACGAATATTTCTTTGGTATGTATAGCAAGCTAAAACCTGAAACTATATTCTTGTATAAGTCATTTTTTGATTAGACGTCTTTTGTCCCAAGAAAACCCGTATAAAAATTGTTGTGATGCCGGTTATTTGCGCGCCATTATTGACGGCCATTGTTTACATTATTCCAGTAAAATTGTTACTAATTCTCAAGAATGCAAAATTATTTTTATTATTCTAACAAGTAATGATTCCAATAATGAATAAATTTCCTCAAACAAGCACCATTTGGTGTTTCCATTTTGAGATTTTCCCACTTAAAATGGGGGGCCAATGTTGGGTTTTTTCGTTAAGGTTTATGGGTTTTTCCTTAAAGTTGGTTGTTTTTTCAGCTTTAACGCTAAAAGGTGCGAAAGCAAGTGAGGTGTGGGACCCGGAAGCCAAAGGGGCGGAGGACTACCAAGGCGGCCACAAACTCATAATTAAGCAAGCGTTGGTGGGGCCCGATGCCACAGAGGGTGAAGTGAATGTAGTTCAGGTTGAAGCAATGACTTGGAAGGACTCTGTTAAAATTCCGATTGCTTCATTAAAAGCTGGTGGTGCAAACAACCAAGTTCTCTTAGATTTGTCATTCCCTGATCCTCCAGTTACATTCAGTCTTGTACAAGGCAACGGCCCTGTACACATAATAGGACATCACCTTATTGGAAGCCCTATGGAAGAGTTTGATGAGATGGACGAAATGGAAGAAGAAATGATTGAAGATGAAGAAGGAGAAGAAGGAGCTGTAAGTGTGTGTTGTTTCCTGTACTTTTGACAATTCTACTATTCATCATTGTCTAAATTGTTTTGAGAAATTAACTGAAATTGTAATTCTTGTAGGATGAAATGAAGAATAGTAGAACAAACAAACGCAAAGTTTCAAATGGAAAATCTAGTGATAAGGTGTGATTAAGTTAAATCATTGTTGTTACAATTAATTTCTTTTTTTGTTGTATAGGAGGAAGACGAGGATGATGAGGAACCTAAAAGCAAAAAGGCCAAAACTATGAATAATTCAAAAGGAAAAACTCCCGTTAAGAACAACAGCAAAGCAAAGAAGTAATTAAGTTCTTATTTTTAAAAATTCATTTTCATTTTATCATTTCTTGTTTCTCTCATTGGAATTGGACTGTATTATTTTCAATTTTCTGTGAACTTCATTTTCAAAGGACCATTAAAAGTAGGTGATTTAAATGTTGAAGTGTTTTTTGACAATGATCCAATTTCATTTTTATTCCATAACTAATTTTATGTGAAGTATGTAAGACGAAAGAAACCTTTTTAGGTATTTATTTGTGAAATTCAGTTGTTTGTAAATACTACAATCTCATTAAAATAGTTTTTTTCTAATAACACGGAGTTTTTTTTTCCTTTATTGACTTCTTAGTTTTTTATTTTCAAAAGATGCAAACAAAAAAATATGCTTTTCAAAGTTTAAAAACAATAATATTTTCTAACGACATTTGCGTTTAGATGCTGACGCACTTGTTCTACATACTTGGTCGTTCTCACTGATTTCAGTGTTTGATTGGAAATAAAGTAGAAGTATTAACTTACTGATACACGTTTGCATTTGCAATGCTATAAATTCCTAAAGTATCTTTGCTCCTTGTGATGAAAACAGTTCCGCAGTATTTATTTTTATATTAATAAAACTTAGTTTCAAATTTACTATTGTCAGTCTTCTGTATAAAGGCTGAGTCATTTATAATAAAGAACCTGACCGATTTTCAGACGCAACCCAAAATACATTCTCACCAACAACTTGGCTTTTGTTATGTTTATGATCTTGATACAGGGTGTTAAAAAAAGAATGTAAAAGGAGGTAATACAATGGACCAAAACAGTTTTAATAAACATGGGTCCACAAAGTAACGGTTTCGGAGATATCGAAGATTATTTGTTTTTTGAAACATTTATTTGCAATCTGTTCAAACAAAAAGGAGAAGCGTCTAGTAAAAATTTTCACATTCGATATCTCCGAAACCGTTACTTTGGGGTCCCATGTTTATTAAGACTTTTTTGTTTATTTTGGTTCATACAGTTCTTAATTATCTTACAATCTTTTTTAACACCCTGTATATGGAAATGCCATAAAATGGTGGCTGATTTGGTACCGTCAAAGGTATACCGTAGGACGCCATTTATAAAAACTGTCAAATTTATTACAGGTATCTATGGTTGTGTTTAAAAATTTTTAAAAAGAACATCCCGCAAATGTACACTTCTATTCAAAAAAAAGCGTACAAGTAGTGAGCCCAATTTTGGCTGGATTGTAATATTGTAAACTTATCTTATAATCGTTGTTACCTAGAAACCATAATTAAAACGTTACTGATAGCTGGATTTCATCGATGTATTTCTCAGAGATTTGCTTCAGCAGTTTTTTTATACCTAGACCACCCATCTTCCAACTTATTAGTAATGTCATGGTATAATTCAATTATAAAAAGCAAGCGAAAGCAATTTTCACATATTTGACATACAAAATGTCAGTAATACGTTTTCTTGGAAACGATTAATTAATATATCCCATTTACCATAGTCCTAAATACGTGTACGCTTTTTTTTGAATAGAAGTGTACAATGAGCCTTAAATTTTTGTAGTCAATGTCATTCCCTAATATACCCTCTTGTCACAATTACACGGGGAAACTACTTTTTTGACAAAAAGATGAAGTGTCAAAATGACATTACCTACCAAAATTTTATGCTCGCCATTGTACCTTAAAAACGGTCACTACCTACACTGCGATTTTTAAACAAAATTTATTAAAGTAAATAGAAATATGATTTAACCCATTTCATAGTACTCACTTGGACAAGGGTACATCAGTTACGGAATTAAAATTTCGGGCAGTATTTTTTTGTCACTCAAAAAGTTTTTCTGTCATGATGACTGACATTTGACAATTAAACTTTTTGGTGACGCTATTTTTTAAGTCAAAATGACCATGACGAAGAGTAAAAAATGAGGTTATTAATGTAAATGTAATGTAATGTTGTTTTAGAGTTTACATTATTAAAATGACAATTCCGCCCGAAATTTTAATTCCGCAACTGTAGGTATACACATGCAGGCTGTCCGGAAAGTCGCGCACCTCCTTGAAAGGGAGTAATTGGGTAGTCCCCCAAAGTACTAAAAAATGTTTAAAAAAGTCTATCTATCAAAAAATTTTGACATTTCTTTTGGACTTTTGACATTGTTTATGCCTATTTAATGATACTGATGATTTTGTATACAGGCTGATTCAGATAACATAATGAGCCCGACGTTCTGGCGATGCAACCCAAAAAACAAGTTTTATTTACGTTTTGATCTAATTTTAATTACGATTTGCATTTGCAATCCAAGTTATGTTATGTTGCTCTCACAGTGCAATTTATGATTTATAAAAAAAACTGTGCCTACTTTTAATGTTTAATTCTTTCATACATTTTGTATTGGGTTTACACCGAAAAGACTTCTCTGACTCTATCATTCCGCGAGTCTTGAATGGCACTAATGATGGTTCTCTGGACTGATGTCAGAGTGACATGAGATGATAAGTTGGATACAACTTGCAAATCCTAATTTAAATTGGATCAAAGGCGTAAATGGAATTTGTTTTTTGGGTTGCATCGCCAGATCGTCAGGCTCATTATCTTATCTGAATCGCTCTGTATGTTTTCTTATTATTATTTTGTATATACAGGGTGTTTCATGTAATTTTACGAGGCCTGCGCCTGTAAGATGCAATCAATAATACATATTCCGATACGAACTCGATTACAAATTTTGAAAAATTGGATAATCTTCTCTAGTTTGTTCACCCTTTCAAAAATTACAACGTTTTTAGTTAGTTGGTGATTAAGATAGATAAACTACAATCATATTCATGCCGTCTCTTGATAGAACAAATTATAATTGTTTCTGGAAAACTGCAGTTTATGACTATTAATGAAGCAGTGATTAGTTTGACAACTTCTGTCATGGGTTTCTAAAAATTAAATAATTAAACGTGTATTTTTTGTATTCAGTGTTCTGTGACTTTTGTATATTTGGTTGCGTACATTAGGCGCAAACCTCGTAAAGTTATGTGAAACACTCTGTATAAAACCACAAAGATGCGATAGTGGTAGCGCTGAGCGCCACCTGTCAAGCATGTGGGGAATCGAGACATTCACACTTTCACATCAAAATAAAAGCCACATATAACAATTACAATTTAGGATACAGCTTTTTTGTTTCCTGTTGTAATAGCCTTAGAGTCAAAGTGCAAAATTTAAACTCTCATAACTTCGAAATTTTTATAGATAGATTTTTTTTACTATTTTTCTGGTTGTCTTGGGCATCACCCGATAATACCAGGGAGGTGCTCGACTTTCCGGACATTCTGTATACAGGGTGAATATAAAGTATGGAACCAAGCAGTTTTATTTTTAATCATTTGTTCTCAGAAAATAATAATTAATATGAATTAAAGTAGTATAAAAAATGTGATCGTATTTTCTGAACGAAATTTTGTTTTGTTTTTGAGTTATGCGATTTTTTTTTGTCAAAATTGCAATTTATGTGAAAAAATTTTTTTGAAAATATTAAATATAAAGCAGATAGTTATAATCCTTAGAGTATAGCTTTTATGAGAAAAATGATTTTATAGTGGGTTGCCATTTAAATTTTTTTTTTTTGTAGAACTCAAAAACAAAGGGAAATTTTGAAAAATTTTATTCTTGTTAAATCATCACATTTTTATAGTACTTTATCACTCATCAATTATTTTTCGCAAAAAATAAATAGTTTAAGCAAAAAACGTTTGGTTCCATACTTTTTATTCACCTGGTATGTATATTCCTTCGAAGTAGCTAATGAGATATTTCCCAACTAGTTGTGATATGCTATTAATTTAATATTTCTATTTTGTTAATCACACTTGTAAAAAGTTTTTATTAATGAATAAGTTTTACATTTTTTATAAGATAATTTTATGATCTACCACAGTACCTACACTTCGATTTTTAATTATACTCGTACGAGTATCAATGTCAAGGCGTGCACTGGAAGAATTGTCAATCTTACTGGTTTATTAAATAGCTCATTATTACCGTAGAAGCAGTTACAGGATATTATTAAAAGTAGTTATTACTATGTACTTAATTAATTTCAGAAAATCATTAATATTTAGGATAAAACGAAATAGCTTCTACCGAGTGATTGCAAGGGATGGCTGCGATGGTTTTGAAAACCACCAAATTACCAAATTGTAAAAAAAAATAATATCGAAAATTGAAAATTAATTTTTAATTAATTAATGATTAGCGAAGGCAATTTTATGTTATATTAGAAAAAGACGTTAAAACAGGTAAGTATGTAAATGTAAAAAAAGTAATAAAACCGTAAAAATAACACATAGGTATATTATGATATTATGGATGTAAATTTAACGTAAAAAAATCCCTATCCATACTCAAATGTGTATTAAGGTTTTTAAGGTGGTAAAGTCGACAACAGTACGTCAAAAATTTCTTGATATTTATAATGACAAACATTTCAAATTATTGCAGGCACAAAAAGGTGGTTGAAAACGTACAGTCAACGAATCTGAAAATGACATGACTCGTCCCTCCGACCGCAACCATCGCTAATAAGTAATAAGTCATTTATATCGTAAAGTTGGACATTCTTTATAAACGTTCCCAATAAAGTTTGAAGTTACGTATTTACAAAAATTTTAATATATCTATTATTTATTATAATTGATTGTTACCTGTAAATTGTTATAAAGATACGAGGGTGGATCCCTATGCTCCACCCCTGACCCCCTTACAGTCAAACTACAGTGGTATTATATTTTTTATTTTTTGACATAGTCTTCCCCTTCAATAATGCACTTGGTCGATCGTTGCTCCAACATCTCAACAGTCTCCAGGAAAAATTTTTGTCCGTCCTCTACAAACCACCTCTCTACAGCTGTATCAGTTCATATTTCCACTCTTTGCAGTTTTGGTTCGGGATCATAGTGGTGCACCTATGACTCGTCTAGGGTCACATACGAACTAAAAAAGTTTTCTTTGTTTTCTTGGTACTTTTCCAAAAGACGCTCACAAGTCAACATCCGATTTCGTTTTTGATCACATTCGGGGCACCCATCTTGCACTCATCTTTTTCATATCTAATTCTTTATTCAGTATGTGGTGCACCACATGATATGATAAGCCAGTATCTTCTACAATGTTTCTGATGCGTACCTAGTCGTCGGTTTTGCAGTACGATATCGTGTACCTTTTTTTTGACTGTTGTTACCGTTATGGGAGGACCACCGGCATGCTGGTTTTTACAGGATGTTCTTCCGCATTTAAAATCTCGACAGCAATGTTTGACTATGTCATAAGAAACTGCAGACTCCCCAATTGTTGCCACAATGTCTTCATGAATTTGAGTTAACGTCATACCCTTTTTCTGGAGGTATTTTATTACTGCTCTTTGTTCTACAGGTTCCATTTTTATAAACAATCACGACACACAGTAAAAGAATTGGCCACAGCACGGTTTGAGATACAAAGTAGATATTTTGCAGGTATGATGTACAAATGTCAGTTAACTAACTGTTAAAAATATAAATCAAACAACCACTTAGAAGTAAGTCAGGGGTGGAGCATAGGGATCTACCCTCGTACTTAAAGAATTTGTATACAGGGTGATTCTTAAATAGACCGACAAAATTTTATCACAGCTTCCCTAGTATAAATGGAGACAAACTGTACCCTTTTTACGTTTATATTTTGTAGAGGCAAAACCACCTTGATCCGTGCCACTTACGGCGTTTATGAATTGTTGCAATGATCAAGTACATTTTGATCAAATTAATACCATGGTTTCCACTACATGTGCTAATACTATTTACGAACACATCAGTGGCGTACGCTTTACCTCGAAAATAACTTTAATAAATTTTATTTGGAGAACGGTTAAACAAAGAATTTTTTAAATATTTTATCCAGCATGTACTCATTTGATACTACCAAGGATAATTTTTTGTCGGTCTATTTAAGAATCACCCTGTATTCTACATACAGGGTTATTCATAAATATGAAGCAATATTTGAACCTCAAAAATGACTTATAAAATGATGTTAATTTAAATAATAACTCGTGTCCTATCTCTACTGATAAGAATTTTACAGCCCTTGGAATGTGGGTATAGAAATTTGATTTTTTTGTAATAACTTTGGAACTATTTGACCAAATATTATAAAATTTGGAACATTTCCCTGTGACAACATACCCTTTAAACTGGTAATCACGAAAACCGGATACATCCATTCAATTTCCGGTTCCAGCAGTTGCAGGTCACATTTTCTGTATTTTTCCATTTTTTTGCTCTCTTAACACCAATTTTTTTTTGCCCAAATAGATAGAATAATAAGCATTAATTCATAAAAAGTTCACAAAAATTTATTGTCAAAGTTAACAGATGCCTGGCAGGGATTTATGTGTTATTTTTGTAACCCAACAACATATATAATTTTTCGTTCCCATCCTGAGGTGCCCTTCTGAGATTGGCGGAATTAAGGGTCTAATAACTTTCTTATGCAAACAAAAGTTACTTCTTCGGCTGCACTTTGTGGCGACCCATTGCCGCCGGCACTTGACATTTTTCTCTGGGGCGCGAGTTCTGGCGCACCTGTATATCTAACTGTGATAAAAAATAAGACATTTACTGTATAAACTGTATAAATTAGTGTCCATAACTGTTATGAAGACTTGAGGGAAAACATAATAATACACAACCATTACAATTAAAAATAAATGAGACTAAATTATCTGTAGAACTATTATTTTAAATGGTAAAAACATGACAAATATTAAATCTACCGGACTTTTTATATTACATTATCTAATTATTAGCTTAGTTCATGAAGGTAAGTGATTGTTGAAAGTGGTGTTTTTGCACAAATAATTTGGTATGTAATTGGTCGAAACTGAAGTAAAATAGTGCCACAATGAACTTCAAATTTGGCGAACCAGAAGAACAAGAAGGTTTTGATGTGCATAAATTCACTTTGTTTTCTATTATCTTTGAATTGTAGAAGATTATTTAGAAGTACTGAAAATTTGCTTTATCGATGCATTTCGAACACATTTCGCAAAGTTGGTTCTCGGCGTTACATTCGTTAATATTATAGGATTGACCTTACTTCAGACTTATTTCTCTATAAACAGTTTTAGTACCACACAATTTTTAAAATACGCCCCTATTTACTTTGGACGCTTTCATGTAAATTGTTATGTTTTTTTTGATGAGTGTTTAAATTTTTCTAATTGCTAGGTATTAGTATGTGTAATTTTTATTTGGCATCACATAAATGTTACACATAAATTGTTCGCAAAGATTCCTCGGTGGAGTTACAACACTATAGGAAAAATATATAATAGCAAGGTTAAAAGAAACGCTCTGTATACAAACATGTTTGTCGCTTTTATCACACTGGCTGGTTTTGGTTGCGCCGTTTTGTATGCAATACCTACAGATAAAGATGAGGAAATTTTTTTCATTTTGTCTTGGTTTGAAGAGAACATGTTGGAATGGGCTGATATTTTCTCTCTTGGTCATCGACTGAGTTTTCTTTTTGTGTCTGTAATAATGCAAGCTCCAAGTATCCAAATATGTTATATTGTAAAACAAACTCAATATCAGTTAGGCATCGTAAAAATCATCTTAGAAAACATACATCAAGGATTTGACAATTTGGACACACTAATTCTCGATGATAATTTCCAAAAAGAAATGAAAAAAAGATTAGTGTTTTGTGTTGAACGCCACATCAACCTTGTTATAATAGGGAAGAACTTAGTCAAAGAAGCTGGGGTTTTTGTATTTCTTCTTGCCGTTACTGGAGCGATGTGGGGTGTTAGCCTAATGATGTTTTTCTATGTGGTAAAATTTCGTCATTTTGTTTTTATTCATCAATTAAATTAAACTTTTACAGACTGAAGATACACCTACTTTTGTAAATGTACGTCTTTGCGCTCTAATTTTTGTGTCTACGATAACAGGAATTTTATATGTGATACAAGGACAAAACATTCAGGACGTTGTAATGTAAGTGCAACTCAAAACACAATTATTTTAACTTGAATATCTCAGAGCGAAGAGTGTTTTCAAACTGTGAGTCAAATGGATTGGTATTACTGGAATGAGGAAAATAAAAGAATCTATCAGATTATGTTTCTTAACTGTTTTAATCCATTTACTATAAAATTTTCAGAAAATCTGACAGTAAATTATAAACTAGGAATTGAAGTAAGTGCAACAAAACGCTTCTTGTTATAAAAAGAATCTTTGTTCCAGTTGGCAAAAGCCGTATACTCTATGATGTCATTTATGACGTATGTATCTGATAAAATAAAAAAATAATTTTTAAGCAAAATTTAGTTGTACATAGGATGTTTTAGAATTCACACCCCCATTGAAAAATTGTAGGTAAGATAAGATAGCAGAAACATTGAAAAAAATCTTTTGATATTTTTTTTTGTCTTTTTAATGTTACCGATAATCTTGTATACCAAAGTTTTTTCTAATTATTCAGTAAAGGTACAAAAACTTTGTCAATAAAAGTCACAAATAACGTTAAACATAGTTACAAGTCAGGATAAAGCTTTTTTGTTTCCTTTTCTAAAATAGCTTGCAGCAAAAAAAACATGTAAAATTATTTTGCTAACAGAAATAAATAAGATCAAAGTACAAAATTTAAACCGTTATAACTTTGAAGTTTTTATACATAGAATGTTTTTACCTAGTATTTAAACCGTTATAACTTTGAACTTTTTATACATGGAATGTTTATACCTGGTATCTTAACTTACATGGCATTTTTAGTGAAACATCCTATATTTTTAAATATTATATAATGTTAAGTCACAAAAACACTTTTTCATACAGAAACAGTTCATAAAAAAATTACAACACAGTTAGTAGTATGTGACGTGTTCAATTAAATTTCTGATCAGTTGACTGATTTTGTCATAGGTATAACATATTTTAGTAATCGGATAATAAAGACTTATAGTTGGCAGATGACAATCCTGATTTTTGACATCAAATGTCAGCGGAAACTTTGACAAGTTTGCGTTTTATTCCTTTTGAGTGAAATAATGTTTACTTTAGAGCAGAAAATTTTTATTGTTGTACAAGAGGAAAAGGGTGGATGGTCATTTTCACTTTCAGTTTGTGTGGAAAATTTCCAGTCCAGATTCCCAGCCAAAGTGTTGCCAACTGTAGAATTTAATCGACGCCTACTCTAAATTATTTTTTATTTGATCGCACGGTATAATAAATGTAGAGGAGAAATCCGAACCTTTGGTTTTCTAATTATTTATTTCAAGTCGAAGTTTCGGGTTACATTGCACTTTTTTCATTCATGACTTAAAAAATTATTAAACTCAAAATATATAGTAGGCAGCGCGATTCTACGAGGGGCTCTAGAAAAGTTATGTACATGAAACAAAAGAAGAATTT